GTGATCATTGTTGTATATGTTGATATTCTTAACCTAGTAGATATTAGATCTGAATGCATTGCAACTACTAACCTACTTATCCATGAGTTTGAGATGAAAATGCTAGAAAAAATAACTTTCTGTATTAGTCTTCAAATTATGCATGTCACACATGGTGGCATTTTTTTCTATCAATTAACGTATATTAGATGAACCTTGTAGAGATTCAATATGATTGATGCTTATCTATTATTAAAACCAATGGTTGGATATAGTCACAATAGTGATGATCCATATTGTCCATACAAAGAGGAAGAGGAAATATTACAAGATCAGTATCTATACTTTGTAGTGGTTAGAGCACTTTTATATTTAGCCACATCTACAAGATTAGATATTATATTTATAATTAGTATTCTTGCAAGATACAATATATGTCAAGTACTATAACATTGAAATGACATTAAATATTTATTATGTTATTTAAAAGGCACTAAAGACTTGAGATCATACTACATACAATTTGCAGATCCAAAATTGATTGGATATTATAATACAAGATATAAATTTGATATTGCAATAGCTAAATCTCAACTAAGTTATGTATTTTCAATACATAGAGCTGCAATATCATGGAAATCAGTGAAACAAATTATAATTGTAACTTCATCCAACTATGCAAAAATTATTACTTTATGTAAAGCATCTTAGAAATATATTTTATTGCAATTAATTGATAAAATCATTCAAACAACCTATGGAATTTTATATGGTGTTTTTCCAACTATCTTGTATCAAAAAAATTGCTCTTGTATTGCACAAATGTAAGTTGGTTTCATTAAAGGTAACATGACAAAGAATATTGATCCAAAGTATTTTAATTATATGCATGATTTGGTTACTAATCAAATATTTAAGTTCAAAAAAATTGAATATGCAAATAACCTTATTGATCTCTTCACCAAAGTTCTCCCTTTGTATAACCATTTCTAACTTACTAATGGCATTGGCATGCGGTGACTTGGTTTTTTTGAGCAAAAAAATTGATGTGTTTTTTAAATAATTAAGAAAAATGATGTTGTACTCTATTTCTTTCATCTATGGTTTTGTCCTTGAATACAATATGGTTTTCTTACATAAGGTTTTAATGAGGCAGATGTTGTTTATCTTGCAAGTTTATAGAAAAGTATAGATCATAATTCTATGCATATTTTATGTTATACAAATATTATGACGAGCAATCTCATGATGTAATATGGTTAATGAATGAAAGAAAGAAAAAAAATATTATATTATAGAATATTTTATTTTAAAATATTATAAAAAATTATCTTAAAAATATAGATAATAGTCAAAAAGATAGTAAAATTAAAAAGTGCTAATGCTATTCTTTTATAAAATAGACTTCTATTTACTTTGTATGGCCATAAATAAGGCAAAACAAAGTAGATTAAAAAATTAAATAATATAGGTATGTATAAGAGAGAATTAAGAATAGATTTTAGCAAAATTTACTTCAAGAATCCAAGAATTAATATCCAAAGAGGACAAGTTCTCAGCCTTCATTGAAATCAAACCTTGAGGCACAAAACCTATAATAAATCTAAGATTCTTTAGTAGATTAAAGAATAGAATTTGAAAGAAAACTTGAGAAAATATTTTTAGGCATTGATTTTGTGTCAATTGAATTAATATTGAAATTTTCAAAGATTTTTAAAGTTAGTAATATTCTTGGTGGAATTAGAGTTTAAAAAATAATAATATATTTACAAATTTGAGGGTTTCTTGAGTTTTATGGTCTGTGTACAAATAAAATTTAGGCAATGTGTTGATCTGCTAGTTATAAATTTGTATGCAAATTTTGAGGTCAATCAAATGATTAGATTGAAGTATATAAAGGACTTTATAGGTTGAAGTCTCAAAAATTGGAGTTTGAAGGTCACTGAATATTTTTTAGATTGTGAGCAATCTATCAATTGGATTGAAGTGAAATTTTTTCATATAGATACTAGACTTGATTTCTAATGTTTAAGTGAGATTTGAAAGAAATTTAATTATTCAAGAAGAAGATATTGGCATAAGAAGTTTGGTATTTAAGTTGGAGTAGGAGACTGCTCAATATTTGATTGGATTATCTTGCATTTCTTTCAATTGATATGTGCAATTGATTTCATCTTTTTTATGCTTGTTTCTAACCAAGACATTAAGAAGTGTACAAATTTTGAGTTGATATCAATAATTTGATCATCAATTGTTGAGGTTCCATTTTGCTATAAGATTTGTTAAGAGTTTGTTTAAGATCTAAGATTTGATAAGAGTTTGGTTCAGGATTTGATTTAAGATTTGGTCTAGAATTTGGTTGGAATTAAGATTTGATCAGGATTTGATTTAGAACTTGTCTAGGATTTGTCCAAGATTTGAGATTTCATTAGGATTTTATTAGGTTTGACCTAGGATTTGATTAAAATTTAATTAGGGTTTCAATTAGGATTATATAAAGATTTTTACTTTTAATATTTCTTTAGGATTCTTTATATTTATTTTGTGACTTCTTTTAAATTTATTTTAATAAGTTAAAGTTTGATTGGATTATTAAGAATTACTTGAAGCTTATTTAATGCTCTATTAGACTTGGTAAAATTTTTCTTGCATTATTACTTATCTTCCACAACTAGGTACCTGATACATTCTCAAGTAAGAATATACTAAATTTGACAACAAAGAGGAGTGTTGAGAGCATTAAATATAGTTGTTGCTCTCCATAATATTTACTAAAGTTTACAATAAATATTGTAGCTACAATTTTTGGAATGTAGTAAGGAGAAACTATTTATTTTCTTCCATTTTCTTTGTATACAAGAGACAACTACATTAATTCATTGATAAAAAGCTCTCTCTCATTCTACACACTCTCTTATGTGTGTGTGCACATTATTTTGAGCTACTCTTGTGTCTCCAAACATTCTCAGCAAAAAGAGGCTATTTAAGTAAGCAAAGGAAATGCAAAAAAAAAACATAAAAAATGGATTCTTCCATGTTTGCTCTCCTCCAACATTCTCTCCAACATGTTAAGAATCAATATGAATCTTCAACTTGGGTCAGTCAATCAAGACCTAATGGTTGTAAGATGGATAAAATTAAAGCCAATAAAAACAACAAATAAATAAATAAATGCAAAGAATTGATCCAACCTATCATGCGGATTCATACACTTTGTTTCTCATCCAGATGGGTACCACATCACATTTTGCTGTTCTTGATAATCTTTCTTCATTTAAGATAAGATAATCGGAATTGCCTTCACAGGAAACGTTGAATAGGATGTGAGTATTGTGTGTGTGTGTATACAGTAGTCTGAAGTAAGTCTCTCGTAGGTAATGAATTTTCGCAACAATAATTTTGCAGCGCAGCAAGCCTCGGTGGCCTTTTTCGATCGTCTATTAGAATATATATATATATATATATATATATATAAATAAAAGGTCTTAATTAATTAATTGTAATAATAAGTTTTATCCGGTGAAATTATGATAGTAAGATTCATCCTTACTGAATGATTTGAAATGTGACTGGCGAGAAGCAAATAAGGCCGCTATAAAATCAATCAATCAATGGTGAAGCAGAAGAAGAAGAAGGATACCAAACGCTGTGAAGCAAGTCAAAGGAAACGGATCGGGTAGCATCAATCCTATCGAATGTTTTGCAAGAATGGCAACAACACAGATTCATCCGACAAGACGAAGGATCCATCGAAGGCCTTATTTCTGTATAAAAAACATAAAACATACACACACACCCATCCAGGAGAGACTGACAACGTTGCATTCAACATCACGATTTCCTTTTCTCTTACGCACTCATATAAAAAGAAAGAGAGAGAAGACAGACAGAGTACTGATCCAAGCGATGGTGCACCAGTGGAAAAAAAAAAAAAAAAAAAAAAAAAAAACACTAAAAAAACTAAAAAACTAAAAACTAAAACTGAATTAGCAGCCAAATCTGGAAGGACCGAAATAACCGTATTAACGTACTGGCCACGCTGCAATCGCAATCAGAGTAGGTGCCAATTTGCAGCGAGAGGCGTATTTGTTTTCTAGTTGACTGATTCACTCACAACCATCACCACCACCACCATTGAGCTTTGTAGGGAGGTGGGTTACCATAATCAGGACCACTACCCTCACTCTCAATCTCATCATCATCCCCACCTCAGTTAGCCAGCCATGCCAACCAAAAAAAAAAAAAAAAAACAAACAAAACAAAACAAAATACTAGAACAAAATAAATAAATTAATAAATAAATAATTATTCGTTAGTAAGTTCGTTCGTTCGTTTGTTGCTTCCGTTCCTTTCTTCCTGAAAGTGTGTCATCGCCAATTCTGTGTGTCTGTCTGTCAGGAAGGAAGGAACCTTCGTCAACGAGGTTTCGTTTCATTTCATTTAGTCAGTGATAACATTTTGAAGGGGTGTAGTAGTCGTAGTCGTAGTAGTGGTGTAGTAGTCAGTGGAAGAATAGAGCAACTGTGGTGTGATGAGTTGGGTGTGTGTCAGTGTGTGTGTGTGTGTACCGAACCTTGCTGCGAAAGTCTAGATGAAGAAGGAACACGCGGATGAGAAGACTGTGGCCCGTCCAACAGGGCGTCACGTTTGACTCTCCGCAGTGAAGCAGAAGAAGAAGAAGAAGCAGAGATCAGGCTCCCTCTCTTCGCCTCTTCCTCGAAAGTGGCCACGGATTCTTACATTGCGAAGAGGCTCCTTGCTGCAAATGCAAATGAAAAAAATCAATAAAAATAATATAAAAAAAAAAAAAAAAAAAAAAAAAAAAAAAAACCTTTTCTCAACTGCTTGTGTTGGTATCCTTGTAACCGTGTGTGTGTTTGTGTGCGTCTTTTTTTCTTTCTTTTTTTTTTTTAAC